CTCTCCTCATTGGTAATACCTTCCAAATCAGGCAACATCCTGGTAAACCCCTTCTGTACCCTCTCCAGAATCTCTACATCCTCCTGGTAGTGTGGTAAATGTATACAATTTTCCAACTGTGACCTAACTAAAGTTCTATACAGCTGCAACATGACTTGCCAATTTTTATATTCTTCCCTGAGAGATGAGGCAAGCCTGCCATATGCCTTGTTGACCACCTTATCCACTTCTGTTGCCACTTTCGGGGAACTGTGGACCTGTATGCCTAGATCCCTCTGTATGTTGATGCTTCTAAGTGTTCTGCCATTTACTGTATCCTTCCCTCCTGTATTAGACCTTCCAAAATACATCACCTTGTATTTGTCCAGATTAAATTCCATCTGCTATTTCTCTGCCCAAGTCTCTCACCTACCTGTATCCTGCTGTATCCTCTAGCAATCTTATTCACTATCCGCAGCTCCTCCAATCTTTGTGTTGTCCACAAACTTACTAATCAGGCTGTTTACATTCTCCTCCAAATCATTTTTATATTTGTTAGAAACAACAGGGGACTCCAGCATAGATCCCTGTGGAATACCACTGGTCACAGATCTCCAGTTTGAAAAACAACTTTTCACTGCTACTGTGTCTTATATGACTAAACTAGTTCTGCATCCAGTTTACTAGCTCACCATGGATCCCATATGATTTCACCTTTTGTATCAGCCTGCCATGGCAGAACTTGTCAAAGGCCTTGCTACAGACTGTATAGTCTGTATAGGTAGGTGTGGTAGCTCAGTGGTTAGCACTGCTGCCTCACAGCGCCAGGGACCCAGGTTCGATTCCACCCTTCAGGTGACTGTCTGTGTGGAGTTTGCACATTCTCCCCTTGTCTGTGTGGGTTTCCTCCAGGTACTCCAGTTTCCTCCCACAGTCCAAAGATGTGCAGGGTAGGTGGATTGGCCATGCTAAATTGCCCATAGTCCCCAGGGATGTTTAAGTTAGGTGGGTTAGACATGGAGAAATGCAGGAGTAGGGGAATGAGTCTGGGTGGGATGCTCTTCAGAGGGATGGTGTGGACTAGGTTGGCCAAATGGCCTGTTTCCACACTGTAGGCATTCTATGATCAACACCTACTGCCCTGCCCTCATCTGTCATATTTGTCACTTCCTGAAAAAATTCAATCAAATTTGTGAGTCACAAACTTCTCTGCACAAAGCCATGCTGCCTATTTCTAATATGTCCGTGTTTTTCCAAATTGAGTAAATCCTGTCCCTAAGAATCTTCTCCAATAATTTCCCTACTACTGACATAAGGCTCACTGGCCTGTAATTTCCTGGATTATACATGGGTTGCCTTTCTTAAACAAAGGAACAACATTGTTTATTTTCCAGTCCTCTGGGACCTCTCCTGTAACTGAAGACGATTCAAAGATTTCGTACAAGGCCCCAGCAATTCCCTCACCTGCCTCCCTCAGCATTCTGGGATAGATCCCATATGGTCCTTGGGAATTGAATACCCTAGCTTTTCAAAACATCCAACACCTCCTGTATTTATATGCCCTAGAATATCAACATACCCCTCCTGAGACTTATCATCCACCATGTCCTTCTCCTTGGTGAATACTGATGCAAAGTATTCATTGAAGACCTTGCTCACCTTCTCCGCCTCCATACATAAATTCCCTCCTTTGTCCTCGAGTGGACCTACCCTTTTCCTAATTGCCCATTTGCTCCTTATATGTGTATAAAACACCTTGGGATTTTCCTTAATCCTGTTTGACAAAGACATTTCATGGCCCTTTTTAGAACTCCAAATTCCTTGTTTGAGTTCTTTCCTGCTTTCTTTGTATTTCTCTTTGAGGGCTCTATCTGTGTTCAGTTTCCTAAACCTTTTTCTTTTTAACTAAGCTCACAATTTCTCGTCATTCAAGTTTCCTGAATCTTGCCATCCTTATGCTTCATTTTCACAGGAACATGCTGATCCTGAACTCTGATCAATTGATTTTTAAAAGATTCCCATATGCCAGACGTGGATTTACCTCCAATTAACCACCCCCAATCTATATTTCCCAGTTCCTGCCTATATTGTCAGCATCCAGAGTCACTGTATTCAAACATTCCATCGGCCATCTGTTTTTTTACTTCACAATTGCTGCCAGACCTACTGAGTTTCTGCAGCAATTTCTGTTTTTAACACGCACACTGAATGGGCAAGCTGATCGATGTAAGTGATGGTGCAGCCTTTCTGAGGTCAGAAGATCTGCTGAATCTCTGAGGTATTAAAGGCAAACATCTAGCTAATGCAGAAAGTTCTCCTACTTTATTTTGTCTATTATCAACAGCTCAGAGACAGGGGCAGGTAGGGTAACCATTGGTGATGGGAGGTATGAATTCAGTCCGCACAGGGAATAAAACAATTGCAGGTTTGATAAAATACCTGAACAACAGAGAATCACATTGAGCCATCATGAGAAAAACAAGTCTCTTGGCATCAAAATCTTTCCTTGGGAATTTTCAGGCAGAATACAGTGAGACTAAAGGTTGAAGGGTGGTACAGAATTAGAATTTTCAGCAAGTCAAAATTTCAGCCATGCTTAAAAAGATTTTAAAATTTTCACAATTGTCACATTTATTCATCTTTATGTTTCTGTCTCCACAAAGCAAAAAACAGTATCTTTTTCTCAACAGGTGCTTAAGGGCACGGAGGTCTATGGGAGTGAATCCATCACATACTCAATCTGACTGGCTTTGTTGTAAGTGGGTCTTTAGGATATCTGATATTCCCAAGTCTAACTAGTCACAGCTGTAATACCAGAAGGTTGGTCAGTACTGCTCCATGTGGAACTTGTGTTTGTCAGGAACTGCATGGCTGAAGGTCTCCATATTTGCTCAGTGAGTTCTGCTGGCTTCACGTTTGGTATCGCAACACGGGTATGAGATAGGACGTTTTTCGTGGGGTTTACTTTGGAGCTGGGATGTATCTGGTATTTTCCCGCAGGCCAGCAAGGGAGTGTGAACACACCTTTGAGTTTGAGCAGGTATAGGGAGTGTGTATGTGAGATTAAATATGTCTGAAAGCCAGTATAGGTAGTTCTCCTATAAAGCAATAGTTGCACTCTTACATGACCTCACGCTATAGAAAATCACTATACCTGTACAGCAGAAAGTTTGCGTTAAAGAAACACACATTATAACAGAACTACCTGTACTGTGTCCAGCTGTGAGAGCTTTTACGTTGACTACATGTTCACAGCATGGAAGTATGAATTCCTTGGAATATTACAGTGTTCAAGGACAGAGAGTCTGAGAGAAAGGGGTGGCCAAGTGAGTATTTGTGATTTCTTAAAGCACGCACAAGACATTCCACGTTAAAAGTTTCTTCAATAATATTTGTGGGATCTTGCTGAAGGTTAATTTGTTTTTGCACTGGGATTATAAGTTTCGCTAAAGTTCAGAACCCTTCACACTCCAAAACAGAGAACATTTGGTAAATAACCAAAAATGAATTTAAAAATTCAGACTAATTTCTCTGTCCCATTTGGATCAAATGAGATTCCAGAAACATTGAGGATGAACAAGTGACAATCTCACTCTGAAGTTAAAAGTTCATTTGGGTAGCTGCAAAGTTGTATGTTAGAAGGAAGCAGTTTCAACAGGGATTGGGATGGGAGGAGAGACAGAAGAGGTATTTGTAGATCCAGTGTCGCTGCCGCTGGCAACAGCTTCTGGGTGGATCTGCTGGCTGGAGCTGGCCCAGGGGGAGGCAGTGTTGTCCTTACCTGAGGTTACTGCAGGGAAGGTGGAAGGGGAGGGACTGACAGGGTTGTCCCTGCCTGAGGTTACTAAGGGAGATGTGAAGGAAGTTACAGGGTTGTCCCTGCCTGAGGTTACTGCAGGGAAGGTGGAAAGGGAGGGACTCACAGGGTTGTCCTTACCTGAGGTTACTGCAGGGAAGGTGGAAGGGGAGGGACTCACAGGGTTGTCCTTACCTGAGGTTGCTGAGGGAGATGGGGAGGGAGTTACAGGGTTGTCCCTGCCTGAAGTTACCGAAGAAGATGGGGATGGAGTTACAGGGTTTTCCCTGCCTGAAGTTACCGAGGGAGATGGGGAGGGACTCACAGGGTTGTCACTGCTGGGTGTTACTGAGGGAGATGTGAAGGGAGTTACAGGGTTGTCCCTTCCTGAGGTTGCTGAGGGAGATGGGGAGGGAGTTACAGGGTTGTCCCTGCCTGAGGTTACTGAGGGAGACAGAGAGGGAGTCACAGTGTTGTCCCTGCCTGAGGTTACTGAGGGAGATGGGGAGGGAGTCACAGCGTTGTCCCTGCCTGAGGTTACTGAGGGAGATGGGGAGGGAGTCACAGCGTTGTCCCTGCCTGAGGTTACTGAGGGAGATAGGGAAGGACTCACAGCGTTGTCCCTGCCTGAGGTTACTGACGGAGACGGGGAGGGAGTTACAGCGTTGTGGCTATTGCCTGCAGTCTTGATTGATTGCAGATGCTGAACGTTGTGCCCACAGATACGGTGATGCTTCTCCCAGTGCTTGTGCTGACAGAAGGAGTCACAGTAACGTGCCACGTTGCAGCCACTGTAGGTTTCACTTGCCTTCCGACCAGAATTCCAAAAACCCTGAAAGACACAAACTCCATCCATCACCAGAACAACACTCAACATCAGGTCAGATACAATTAATTATTGCTACAGCTTGGGTTAGATTGACACTAAAGCTCTCCCTACACCTCTCAACTAAAACAAAATCTCCTTCACCTTGTTAAAATGAAAGGAAAGCTCTCTCTACTTTGTTCCCATCAAACACTCCAGGTACAGTGACATTGAAGGAACAGCGATAAATTTCCAAGTCAGGATGGTGAGTGGCTCAGAGGGGAACTTACTGGTCGTAGTGTTCCCATGTATGTGCTGCCCTTGTCCTTCTAGACAGAAGTGGTTGTGGGTTTGGAAGGTGCTGTCTGGGGATCGTTGGTGAATTTCTGCAGTGCATCTTGTAGATAGTACACACTGCTGCTACTGAGCGTCAGTGGTGGAGGGAGTGAATGTTTGTGAATGTAGTGCCAATCAAGCGGGCTGCTTTGTCCTGGAAGGTGTCAAGCTTCTTGAGTGTTCATCATAGAATCCCTGTAACTCCCTCCCCATCTCCCTCAGTAATCTCTGTCAGGGACAACCCTGTAACTCCCTCCCCCTCAGTAACAGTAACATCAACACTATTACCTAGTGCTAATCTCCTGCCTTTTCCCCATGTCCCTGCATACCATTTCTGTCCAAATAATCATCCCAGAACCCTCTTGACTATCTCAATTGAACCTGCCTACACCACAATTCCAGGCAGTGCTTTCCAGACCCTAACTACTCGTTGTGCGAAACAGTTTTTTCTCACACCACCTTTCCTTCATTTGCACATCTCTTTAAATCTATGCCCTCTCATTTTTTTTTCCCTTTTACAAACGGGAACAGCTTCTCCCTATCTACTCCATACATCCTTTATCAAATCTCCTCTCAGCCTTCTTCCCTCCAATGAGAACAGTCCCAACGTTTTCAATCTACCCACATAACTGAAGTTTCTCATTCCTGGAACCATTTTTGTAAATCACTTCTGCACTCTCTCCAATGCAATCACATCTTCCATATAATATGACACCCACAACTGTACATTGTGTATAAGTTCAACATTACCTCTCTGCTCTTGGACTCTATGCCCCTCTTAATAATACTGAGGGGACCTCTCTCTCCATCTTTCCTGTCTTCAATGATCTGTGCACATACACACCTAGATAGCTCTGCGCCTGCACTCCCTACCTTTGTACTATCTTTCGATGCTTGTCAGATCAAAATGCATCACCTCACACTTCTCTGTATTGAACCTCATCTGCAATCTATCCACCCACTCCACTAACTTGTCAATGCCCTTTTGGAGTTCCACATTGCCTTCCTCTCAGGTTACAATTCTTCCAGGTTTAGTGTTATCTGCAAACTTTTGAAATTGTCCTGCGTGCCAAGATCCAGTTCATGCATATAATGCTAACAAAGGAAAGGGACTGTCTGTACTACAAATACCAGGCAAGAGAATGAGTGAACACAGGATGAAACAGTGATCCATTCACTGGCCAACAGAATGCCAGTCCTGGGAGTGTTTAATGGAGACAGTGTTGAGGGACATTTACTTCCCATTTAAAAGTGTATGAGGAGCTTTACTCTGTATCTAACCCAATGCTGTCCCTGTCCAGGGAGTCAATACAGTGTGGAGCTGGAGGAATACAACAGCTCAGGCAGCATCAGAGGAGCAGGAGAGTCGACATTTTGGGTCGGAACTCTTCACCAGGACTGGGGAGGGGGAAGGGACCTGGGAAATAAATAGAGAGAGGAGGAGTGGGGCTGGGGGGTAGGTAGGTGGAATGGTGATAGGTGAGTGCATGTAGGGGTAGTGGGGATTGGTCAGTGGGAAGGTTGGGGCGGATAGGTAATAAGGAAGATGGACAGGTTGTGTCAGGTCAACGAGGCGGGGATGAGAGAGAGGGTTGGACACGGGATGAGGCTGGGGGTGGGGAGATTTTAAAACTGGTGAATTCAGTGTTGAGACCATCGGGCTGTAGGCTCCTAAGGCGGAAAATATGAGGTGTTGCTCCTCCAGTTTGCGGGTTGTGTCCTTGTGGCACTAGAAGAAGCCCAGGATGGACATGTCACCCAGGGAGTGGGAGGGGAAATTAAAATGGTTGGCAACCGGAAGGCGTTGTTGATTATCGCGTACAGGGCGCAGGTATTCGGCGAATTAGTCACTGAGTCTGTGCTTGGTCTCACCGATGTACAGGAGGCCACATCAGGAGCAATGGATATAGTAGACCAAGTTGGAGGATATACAGGTGAACTCCTGTCTGATGTGGAAGGTTTGCTTTGAGTCTTTGGATGGAGGTGAGGGGGGAGGCATAGGTGCAGGTGTAGCACTTCCTGCGGGTTGCCGGGAAAGGTGCCGGCTGTGGTGGGGCTAGTGGGGAGTGTGGAGCGGACAAGAGAGTCGCGGAGTGAGCAGTCCCTACGAAAGGCAGGTAGGGGTGGGGAGGGAAATATCTCCTTTGTTGTGGGGTCGGATTGTAGGTGGAGGAAGTGGTTGGATTGGGTTGGATTGGCTGTGTGTTCCATGGTGGAGAGGTTGGAGTGAGTGAGAGGGGTGGAGAGGTTGAGGCGATTGATGTTTCGTTGGCAGTTGAAGCTGAAGAGGTCAAGGGAGAGTAGGAGGCTGTGGGGTGGTATCCAGGAGGAGGGGGTGTGTTGGTGGTTGGAGAAGGGGTCAGCAGAGGGTGGGTTAGACTCCCGGTTAAAGAAATAGGCACAGAGTCAGCGGAAAAAGAGTTCAACATCCAGACGTGAATGGAATTTGTTGATATCCAGGGAGTATTTGGTGGAATAATGTTGAAGGACATTAAACTCCTCTTTAAAAGAATAGAGAGGGCTTTATCTTGTATCTAATCCCATGCTGTCCCTGTCCTGGGAGTGTTTGATGGGAGACAGTTCAGAAGGAGTTTTACTTTCTGTTTAGAAGTGTAAAGGAAGCCGTTTACTGTGTACCTACCACAGTGGAATGTTCCATTGAAATGAAATTAAGGAGCAGAAAAATTCACCAATTGACAGGAAAGGAAAACTTTTATCTAAGACTATTAAACTATTCGGTGGCTGGTGCTCTTTTGCCCCTCTTCCAATGGGAGATTGGAGTCAGGCTCTCACCTCACTGGAAGCCTCTTGCTGCCTGCTGGTAGACTGGATAGCCTCAGAGGCTTGTTGCTTTGTCTCAGTCAGAGCACACTCCATCTTCACTCGCTCAGCAGTGACCATTTTGTGGGCCGTGTGTTCTGCTTCCAATACGGCTTTCTTCAGCTCTGTCATTGCCTGTCGCTTTACCTCATTCACTGCCTCTTCTGGGAGGGAGAAAGAAGCAAAGCAGAAATGAAAATAAAAACCAAAAGAACTGCGGATGCTGTAAATCAGGAACAAAAACAAAGTTGCTGGAAAAGTTCAACAGGTCTGGCAGCATCTGTGGAGGAGAAAACAGAGTTAACGTTTCGGGTCCGGTGACCCTTCCTCAGAAATGAAAGTAAGTCTGCAGCTGGAATTTGATTTGTTTTTCATGACAAAGATGTGTTTATTCTTAAAAAAAGAACATAATGTCTACAACTTTAAAAACAGTCTCAGCTGAGAATCAAAGCTTCTGGAATTACAATCATGTGAACCCTCCTCATTTTTTTTATTGAATATTAACAGGGCCAAAGTTAACCCCCTTTACTGTGAAATGTGTATTTCTTCTATATTTGTTTCATGTGTTAATCTGGGGAAGATTTGATGGTTTTAAAAGTCATGATGGGTCTGGACAGATTAGAAGGAGATAAACAATTCCTGTTGGTCAAAGACTCAAGGAGAAGAGGGCACAGTTTTAAAGGGATTTACAAAAGAAGCAGATGTACAGTGAGAGAAAACTTTCAGCGAGTGGGCCAGGTTTGGAATACATAGTGTGGGAGCATTGTGGAGGTGGGTTCAACTGAGATATTCAGGAGGTCACAAATCACACGACACCAGGTTATAGTCCATCCCAGTCCAACACCAGCACCTCCACATCATGACATTCAAGAGGACGTTGGATGATGTGCAGGGTTATGGGAAAAAAGCAGGAGGTTGGCATTCAGTCAAAATGCTCAGAGAGTTGGTGCAGATATAATGGGCCGAATGGCTTCCTTCTGCACCGCAGGAACCTTTGATTTAGTATGTGTGTGCTTGTGACACTTTGAGGTAGTTGGAATGTATTTCTACATTTCTTTAATATTTTTTACCTGCGTGATTCTTAGCACAATGAAATGGACCCTTTGTTTAACACAAGGAAAGTCTGACTAATTACTTCATTATGCAGCAAGTGAGATAATTCCTGGGTGTGCAGGGCACTCGGTAGGGAATGGCAAATCAGATGTTTTATACTGAGAAACTGTGGGGCTGGGCTTCTTGTTTACAAATTAACAGCAGTACAGCTTACCAGCCTTTTTCCAAATCTCTTCCTGTATATAACCCTGTCCCTGTGGAATCTGTCCATGTACTCCTGAAACATAAAACAAAAACACTTTAATGACAATTGTGAATATGCTATTGCTTCCACTTATACATAAACCAAACATTCAAGGGAATGTGACTTTTCAAAAGGACAGGCAGCAAAGGAAAAAGTCATAGGGTAGCATTGTTAGTAAGGGATAGAATAAAAATGTCAGCAAGTTACGATCTTAAATTGGAAGAGAGAGAATCCATTTGAGCAAAGATAAGAAATCAAAAGGGAAATAGTAGAAATAGTCTATTGGACTCCTATCAGTAGTTACTTGGTGGAACAGAGATAATGTAAAAAAGACAGTATATTAATTATGTGTTACTTCAATCTTCCTGGAGACTGGGATAGTCAGGTTGGCAGAGGTAGACAGAACGAAGAATATTCATTCCATGTATTTAGGACAGTTTTCTAGAAGAATACGTTGGATCCAATCAGGGACCAGGTTATTTTGCATCTGAACATGTTAATAAGGCAGGTGTAATGAATGATGCCAAAGGAAAAGATCCCCCAGGAAACAGTGACCATAACATAGTAGAATTTAGCATTCAATTTGAGAGGGAGGAACTTGGGTCGGAAGCAAGTGTGCTAAGCTTAAACAAAGGAATATGGGTGGAGCTGGCTGAAGGGGGCTGAGGAAAGTGTTTAGAAGAAAAGATGGTTGATGAACAATGGCAGACATTTAAGAAAATAGTTCATGGCTCACAACAAAGATATATCCCAGTTAGGAAGGATTCCAGGAAGGGGATAAGCCAACCAGGGAATTAGGGATAGCATCAGCTTGAAAGAGAAAAAACATACAATGTGGCAAAGATTACGAGTAAGCCAGTGGATTGGAAATGTTGTAAAAATGAACAAAAGATGGTCAAAGAAAGGAAGATATTGACAGGATGCAGAGCTGGGCAAAGAAGTAGCAGATGGAATTCAACCCAGAAAAGTGTGAAGTGATTCATTTTGGAAGATCGAGTTTGAATGCAGAATACAGGGTTAATGGCAGGATTCTTGGCAGTGTGGAGGAACAGAGGGATCTTGGGGTCCATGTCCATTTATCCCTCAAAGTTGCTACCCAAGTTGATAGAGTTGTTTAGAAGGTGTATGGTGTTTTGGCTTTCATTGGCAGGGGAATTGAGTTTAAGAGCCACGAGGATATGCTGCAGTTCCATAAAACCCTGGTTAGACCACACTTGGAATATTGTGTTCAGTTCTGGACACCTCATTATAGGAAAGATGTGGAAGCTTTAGACAGGGTGCCGAGGAGATTTACCAGCATGCTGCCTGGACTGGAGGGCAGGTCTTATGAGGAAAGGTTGCGGGAGATAGGGCTTTTTTCATTGGAGCGAAGAAGGATGAGAGGTGACTTGATAGAAGTGTACAAGATGATGAGAGGCATAGTTAGATTGGATAGTCAGAGACTTTTTCCCAGGGTGGAAATGACTATTGTGAGGGGGCATAATTTTAAAGTGATTGGAGGAAGTTATAGGGGAGATGTCAGAGGTAGGTTCTTCACACAGAGAGTGGTTGTTGTGTGGAATGTGTTGCCAGCAGTGGTAGTGGAATCAGATACTTTAGAGACTTTTAAGCGACTCTTGGATAGGCACATGGAGGATAGTAAAATGTAGGGTATGCAGGGTAGATTGATCTTAGTAGGCTAATAGGTCGGCACAACATCATGGGCCGAAGGTCCTGTACTGTGCTGACTGTTCTATGTTCTGTATACTTTGCGAGTAAACTTGGAAATAATATCAAGATGGACAGAAACAACTTCTTTAAATTTATAAAAAGGAAGAGATAGGCAAAATGAACATAGGTCCCCTTAGTAAATGAAACTGAGGTAAATAATAATGGGGAACAAGAAATGGCAGAGGAATTGATTAGTAGAAGACACTAATAGCATTCCAAAATTACTAAATAATCAGGGGGCAAAAGGAGGAGAGGAAATAAATACGATAACTATCACTAGAGACAAAGTGTTAGGGAAATTAATGGGGCTAAAGACCAAAACCTCCAATGGACCTGATGGGTTGCTAGGATATTAAAGGAGGTAATTGTAGAGATAGTGGATACACTGGGAGTAATCTTCCAAAAATCCTTCAATTCTGAAAAAGCCCAGAGGAATTGAAAACTGTCAATGTAACACCTGTCGTTAAAAAGGGCAAGAGACACAAAGCAGGTAACTATAGGCCAGTTAGCTTAACTTGTGTTATTGGGAAAATGTTCGAGTGAATGATAAAGGGTGTTTCTTTTTCCTTTATTCGTTAACGGGATGAGTGCGTCGCTGGCTAGGCAGCACTTATTGTCCATCCCTAATTGCCCAGAGGGCAGTTATGAGTCAACCACATTGCTGTGGGTCTGGAGTCACATGTAGGCCAGACCAGGTAAGGATGGCAGTTTCCTTCCCTAAAGGACATTAGAGAACCAGGTGGGTTTTTTCCTGACAGTTGACTATAGATTCATGGTCACTGTTAGATTCTTAATTCCAGATATTTATTGAATTCAAATTCCAACATCTGCCATGGTGGGATTCAAACCTGGGTCCCCAGCATGTTATCTGGGAGTCCAATACCACTAGGTCATTGTCTCCCCCTTAATGTAGTAGCAGGATGTAATAGCAGAACGTTTAGAAATATATATAATATGATCTAGCAGAATCAGGCCCAGATTCTCACTGGGGTATGGGATCCACAGGATTCACACTACAGTGTGAGATCCACAGGATTCGCACTGGACAATGGGATCCACAGGCATTGAGTCTCACTGGGATATGGGATTTTTAGGATTTGCACTGGGGTATTTGATTCAGTTGTGGTGATTCTAACTGGGATCTGCTTTTCCTTGGTGCTGATTCATATCAGGGAGAAGCTTAGCCAGGAAAGCTGGAGGGAGATGAGTGTAGATTGTGATACAGTAATTCACTAGAGGCAGAGACAGTGATCAAGAATGTGAAAATAAACATTGGCCTATTTCATGACGAGCACAACATTTTACAAAATGCATATTGGCGATCAAACTTCATCTGTTTTTCTGTATAGTATTAAGTTCATTCTACGTTGTTTTACAGGATCAGTAATCTTGTGATAATCTTGTAATAATAGAATTGTAATTATGATAGAAATATCAGTCCTTAGTGTGAACCTTTATTTTATTTCATTATTGCACTTAAACTGGGATAGACTGACATTATCAAGTAACAGAAATCCTGTAACAAGTTGGGGATCTTTTAGGTTGGAGGAGTTCTGAGGAGACTGCATTGAAATCTCACCCGTTCTCATATCATCAGCATTTCTATAGCAACAGATCCAGTGATGAAGTTCTACCCGATCAGCTTCCTGGCAACGACGCAGCACCATCAGGGAGTGCCGAGTTTTCTCCACCATATCCATGATACAGTTCAGGAGCTGAGAAGGAAAGGTAGGAGTGAGCCACATAAAACAATAAAGAGAGACTGAACCACAGGAAGACTGTAAATGTAGACAAACAAACCTGGCATTTATACAGCATTAGAGATAGTAGGAACTGCCGATGCTGGAGAATCTGAGCTAACAAGGTGTAGAGCTGGATGAACACAGCAGGCCAAGCAGCATCAGAGCAGCAGGAAGGCTGACGTTTCGGGCTTAGACCCTTCTTCAGAAAATCAGAAACCTGCTTCACAAACCTGCTCCTCTGATACTGCTTGGCCCCCATCCCAGACCCCAAGAAGACATTCCACATCAAGCAGATGTTCACCTGCACATCTGCTAATGTGGTATACTGCATCCACTGTTCCCGTTCTGGCCTCCTCTACATCGGGGAAACCAAGAGGAGGCTTGGGGACCGCTTTGCAGAACACCTACGCTCGGTTCGCACTAAACAACTGCACCTCCCAGTCGTGAACCATTTCAACTCCCCCTCCCATTCCGCAGACGACATGTCCATCCTGGGCCTCCTGCAGTGCCACAACGATGCTACCCGAAGGTTGCAGGAACAGCAACTCATATTCCGCTTGGGAACCCTGCAGCCCAACGGTATCAATGTGGACTTCACAAGCTTCAAAATCTCCCTTCCCCCTACCGCATCCCAAAACCAGCCCAGCTCGTCCCCACCTCCCTAACCTCTCCTTCCTCCCACCTATCCCCTCTCCCACCTCAAGCCCCACACCCATCTCCTACCTACTAACCTCATCCCGCCCCCTTGACCATTCCGTCCTCCCTGGACTGGCCTATCCCCTCCCTAACTCCCCACCTACACTCACCTTTACAGGCTCCATCCCCGCCTCTTTGACCGGTCTGTCTCCTCTCCACCTATCTTCTCCTCTATTCACCTTCTATCCGCCTCCCCCTCTCTCCCAATTTATTTCAGAACCCCCTTCCCCTCCCCCATTTCTGAAGAAGGGTCTAGGCCCGAAACGTCAGCCTTCCTGCTCCTCTGATGATGCTTGGCCTGCTGTGTTCATCCAGCTCTTCGCCTTGTTATCTCAGATTCTCCAGCATCTGCAGTTCCTACTATCTCTGACTTTAAGTAAAGCATGGTTTCCCATAGGAATCAATGTTAAAGCGAGATTTAGGTTCCTTCAGACAGTTCTAGCCTGTGAAATACCATACATAATTCCATGGTAAGCTGACTGAATGGGCAAATGAATGGCAGATGCAGTACAATGTGGATAAATGTGAGGCTATCCACTTTGGAAGCAAAAGCAGGAAGGTAGATTATTAACTGAACTGCTATAAAATGAGAGAGGAGAATGTGGAATGAGAACTGCGTGTCCTAGTAAACTAGCTGCTGAAAGTAAACATACAGGTACAGCGGGAGATAAAGAAGGCAAATGGTATGGTGGCCTTCATATTGACAGAATTTGAGTGCAGGAGCGGGGATGTCTTGCTGCAATTATACAGGGCCTTGATGAGTCCACGCCTGGAATACTGTTTGCAGTTTTAGTCGTCTTATCTGAGGAAGGATGTTCTTGTTACAGGGGGAATACAGTGAAGATTTACCAGACTGAATTCTGGGATGGCAGGACTAACATATGAGGAGAAGTTGAATTGGTTAGGACTATATTCACTGGAGTTTAGAAGAATGAGGAAGGATCTCACAAACACTTCTAAAACAGGACTAGACAGGAATAGATGCAGGAAGGACGTTCCTGATTGTGGGCAAGTCCACAATCAGGAGTCATAGTCTCAGGATAAGTGGTAAACCATTTAGAACTGAGACAAGGAGAAATTTCTTCACCCAGAGACTGGGGAGTCTGTGGAATTCTCTGTCACAGAAAACAGTCCAGACCAAAACTCTGTATGATTTCATGAAGGAGTTGGATACAGCACTTGGGGCTAAAGGGATCAAGGATATGGAGGAAAAGCAGGAACAGGCTATTGAGTTGAATGATCAGCCATGATCGTATTGGATAGTGGAGGAGGCTTAAAGGGCCCACCTCCTACTCCTATTTTCTATGTTACCTTTCCCAGCTGAAAAAAACAACTGAGCCTGTCGCAAAGAGAAGAACACTCCTGGAGCCTGAGGTAAGAATAGAGGTGAGACATGAGGCTGTGACACCACATTGGGAAAAGAAGGCTGGGACAGAGCAATACCAAAAGCAATTTATGAAAAGAGGCAAAACCAGGATGAATACAAGGCTTACCCAGTCTGGTCTACATGTGACTCCAGACCCATAACAATGTGTTTGACTCTTAACTACATTCTGATAAGGCTTCACAACTTTACATGGTGAAACCACTTTATTTTCTGGTCAATGATAACCCCGAAGATATTGATAGTGAGGGCTTCAGTGATGGTAACACCATCAAATGTCAAGGGGCAGTGGTCAGATTCTCTCTTATTGGAGATAGTCATTGCATGGCATTTGTGTGGCGCGAATGTCACTTGCCACTTGTCAACTCAAGTCTGGATATTGTCCAGGTCTTGTTGCATTTAAACATGGACTGCTTCAGTATCTGCGGAGTCGTAAATGGTGCTGAACATTGTGCAATCATCGGCGAATATCCCCACTTCTGACCTTATGATGGAGGGAAGATCATTGATGAAGCAGCTGCAGATGGTTGGGCTGAGGACAATACCCTGAGGAACTCTTGCAGAGATGTCCTGGACCTGAGATGATTGACCTTTCACAACCAAGACCGTCTTCCTATGTGTCAGGTATGACTCCAAACATCTGAGAGTTTTCCCGATTTCCATTGATTATAGTTTTGCCAGGGCTCCTTGATGCCACACTCGATCGAATGCAACCTTGATGTCAAGTGCTATCACTCTCACCTCACCGCTGGAATTCAGCTCTTTTGTCCATGTTTGAACCAAGGCTGTAATGAGGTCAGGAGCTGAGTGGCCCTGGCAGATCCCAAACTGGGCGTCACTGAGCAGGTTATTTCTGAGCAGGTGCTGCTTGGTAGCACTGTTGATGACACCTTCCAAGATGTGGTAAATGAAAGAATAGTCGATGGCCAAACAGCAAGAAATGATAAACAGGCCATGACGGGAAGATTGATAGATTGTATGCATCCAAGAATCAACCAACAGATAAAACCAGAATTTACAAAGAAAGTAAAAGGACAAAACCATAGGCACTGTAACTGAATGCATAAAATGGTCAGTGCATTGAGTATAGGAGTTGGGAGGTCATGTTGTGGCTGTACAGGACATTGGTTAGACCAATGGAATAGTGCGTGCAATTCTGGTCTCTCTACTATCGGAAGGATGTTGTGAAGCTTGAAAGGTTTCAGAAAAGATTTACAAGGATGATGCCAGGGTTAGCAGGCTTGAGCTATGGGGAGAGGCTGAATAGGCTGGGGCTATTTTCCTTGGAGTGTTGCAGGCTGAGGGGTGACTTTATAGAGGTTTATAATATCATGGGGGGGCATGGACAGGGTAAATAACCAAGGTCTTTTCCCCGGGTGGGGGAGTCGAAAACTAGAGGGCATAGGTTTAAGGTGAGAGGGGAAAGTTATAAAAGGGACTTAAGAGGCAATGTATTCACACAGAGGGTGGTGCGTGTATGGAACGAGTTGCCAGAGGAAGTGATGGAGGCTGGTACAATTACAACATTTAAAAGGCATCTGGATGGATATTTGAATAGGAAGGGTTTAGAAGGATATGGGCCAAGTGCTGACAAATGGGACTAGATTAATTTGGGATATCTGGTCGGCATGAACATTGGACTAAAGGTTCTGTTTCCATGCTGTATGACTCTATGACTGTATGTAGCATTCAAAAGTGGCTAAATTGAATCGGAAAATTAGATTAAAGAATAGATCAATAGAGGTACAGTGGTAGATATTTAAGAAGAAATGTCAGAATATGTAGAACAGGTACATTCCAACCAATGAGAAAAGCTCCAAATGACAGACCCACTATCTGTGGTTAAGTAGAAATGTTAAAGATAGTATCTCAATTCAAGAAAAAACATATAATTATGCAAAGACATGTGGCAGATCAGAAATTTGGACAGAATATGAAAGAAAGCAAAGAATGACCAAAAAGTTAATAATGTCAGCATAATTAGCATAGAAACAAAGGTAGTCAAAAAATAAACAAAGAGGAAGAGTTTCTATAAATATTTAAACAAAAGGAATGAGTTAACAAAGTGAGCATTTGCCCTAAAGAAAGTGAAACTGGACAATTAACAGTAGAAACTAAAGAGATGACGTTTAAATTGAACAGGTATTTTGCATCACTCTTCATCATAGAGTATACAAGTAGCATACCAGAAGCTCTAACAAATCAGGAAGTACAGGGAGGGAGGAACTCAGGGAAATTCCAATCACCAGGGAAGTGGGACTGAATAAACCATTGGACTTGGGGAATGATAAAGTGTTAGGGTACTGATAGGATTTTTCCTAGAGTCTGAAACAAAGTAGCTCGTGAGACAGAAATAGAAGGAACTGCAGATGCTGGAGAATCTGAGATAACAAGGTGTAGAGCTGGATGAACACAGCAGGCCAAGCAGCATCAGAGGAGCAGGAAAGCTGACGTTTCAGGTCAAGACCCTTCTTCAGAAATGGGGGAGGGGAAGGGGATTCTGAAACAAATAGGGAGAGAGGGGGAGGCGGATAGAAGATGGATAGAGGAGAAGATAGGTGGAAAGGAGACAGACAGGTCAAAGAGGTGGGGATGGAGCCAGTAAAGGTGAATGTAGGTGGGGAGTTAGGGAGGGGATAGGTCAGTCCAGGGAGGACGGACAGGTCAAGGGGGCGGGATGAGGTTGTAGGTAGGAGATGGGGGTGGGGCTTGAGGTGGGAGGAATGGTTAGGGAGGCGGGGATGAGCTGAGCTGGTTTTGGGATGCGGTAGGGGGAAGGGAGATTTTGAAGCTTGTGAAATCCACATTGATACCATTGGGCTGCAGGGTTGCCAAGCGAAGTATAAGATGCTGTTCCTGCAGCTTTCGGGTAGCATCGTTGTGGCACTGCAGG